TTTTACAAAAGGTACAGTACCATTTTATGGTTTATTTGTCAGTGTTCTGTCCGCAATGTACACACCATTTTAGGTTTTTGATTTAGCAAGACTCTGGGAGTTGTGAATGAAGTGTAGATGAAATAAGGAACTTCATTCTAAAGTAACGGTAGGTGTAATGATGTTTTTTACAAGTAAATGGCAGGACTCCAGGCTATGACTAAAGTGATCACAGATACTTCTAAAAAAACATATTTGAAGTACTGTACAGTAGCTGTGAATACATGCCAGTACTCCCCTAATACATTCTAAAATGCTACTGCAGTTATTTTCTTATTAGAAGTTTCTTTATTCTGTTTTGTATTTGAAATACAATAAATGTGTTTTTCACCCAGGTGTGAATGACACAATAAATGTGTCATTACAAGTGACAAAAAAACTCCTTTTCTTTCCTGATTTTCATCAGGCTTGACATTCAACAAGTTAAATCGCCTCATCCACTGTTCCCAAGCAACTCTCGCTAATGAGCCGATTGAGTGACAAAGAAGGTCATGTCTCTGTGAATCACGATCGGTCCTGAATGATCCAGATAATGTGAAAAGCATTTAATCAACATCCAAAATAGGCGTATGTTCTATCCAAATGTTTTCAGTGATGAAGCTCATGTAATACAGGAATTCAGTTAGTTTTATCTACCCCCTGCGCCGGATGAAGTGCTTTACTTTTGTTTTGATTTCTTTTTTTATACAAATGTTAACAAGAAATGCCGCAGTCTTTGAGAGTTGTGTATATACAGACTCGTTTTACAGTTGTGTGAAACGAGTCAGGAACCCTGCATTACACTGCTTTGCCCTCATTGAGATGAAAGTCACATGCTGGCCTGTTGTACCTGGAGTCCAGTAGCTCACTGTGCTCCTTAGCTGGGCCAGATGGATGTAGAGGCTCTTCCACTGACACTGGGGGGAGTCTGCATGTGGCCCTGCATGAGTCCACCCCAGACCGGACAGGAGACCTCTCACATGAAATAGATGTACAGTGCCTCTGTGTGCTTCTCTGTCAGGGAGAGCAGAGGCTCTCCGGCCACAGTCCTGGTTCTGGTAGAGCCCTGTGTGTGTCAGTGTGACTTTCCTGTGCAGCGAGCTTGTTTGCACCAGAGCTTTAACTGAGGGACGGACTGGGACACCAGGGCAAATTCCACTTGTAATGCTGTCTTGTCCTGTTGGTCTACAGGGGTTCTGCGCTCTAATCGTACAGGTACAGTACCTTTTGAATGTTGTTTCCTTCATGTTCTGTCCCCAATGCACACATCATTTCCTGTTTCCGATGTAGCTGAACTCTTGGGAGTTAAATGTGAATGAATGAAGAATTGCAGAGTGTAATCCTCTGAAATGATGTACTACATCCATGCTGACTCCACATCCAGCCTGGATCTGCGGCTGGGGGGGTGGGAGGTGTTTACTCTGGATTTGGATCTGTTAATTCTAGACCAGAGGGCATATTAAATTAGGGGTCTTCCCAGGGCGTGACCTCTTGACAAGGGGTCCTGCAGGAAAGTCCTATCTCAGTCGTTCCCAATCAGGGTGATGGCTGGGTGATTTTCTTTGAGTCCGTTGAGCTGGTGTTAAGATCACTGAAGAGCCTGTTGTTTTACCTCTGTCTAGTCGGCACACTGACAGCACTGTGGGGTTTTGACAGTTATGCGCTTTGCCAGATTAGTCCTGCAGGAAGAAATGGCTTATAAAAAGTGCGTCTTTTGCTCTGTTTCAGCGAGGTCTGGCAGATCATCATTTAATATCTTTCATTCAAAATCTAGTCAGCGTGGCACCCCACCGGGTAAGTTCTCATTTTGCTCCACAGGTTCCAAACAATCACCTGGGCAGCTGATGAGTCCATTGTATTTTTCTTCATTTTAAGCACTTTCTTGAAATCCTGTGTAATAAATTGCTTACACTTATGGAGGGCTTTTCTGGACACTCCACCCAAAGCGCTTTACAGGTAATGCGGACTCCCCAGCCAGTTCAGCTATCTCACCCTGCAGCTCCCAGCTGGCAGCCCCACTGGAGCTCAGCAGTGTGAGCCTGGCCAGTACCTGGATGGGAGACTCCTGGGAAAGCTGAGGCTGCTGCTGGAAGAGGTGTTAGTGGGGGCCAGTAGGGGGCGCTCACCCTGCGATCGGTGTGGGTCCTAATGCCCCAGTATAGTGACGGGGACACTATACTGTAAACAGGCGCCGTCCCCACTGAGAGCTGGTGTGTGGGGAGAGGACTGGAGCATCATCCAGGTGGGGCTGCACACTGGTGGGGGTGGAGGGGATCCCCATGACCTGTAAAGAGCTTTTAGTGGAGAGTCCAGAAAAGCGCTATGTAAGTGTGAGAAATTATTATAACAGGTGGAGTTTTCAATTAAGTCATTTAGAGATCAGAATATCCTTCAACCCTCGAGGATCAATTGTTTACAGAAGTGTTCTAATAAATTAAATAACAGGTGACTTAGGGTAACCTGTAAGAACAATTGTACTGAGACTCTCCAGGACCAGAACGTAGAATAAAGAGACACACTCAGAACTAAAGCTTTAAAACTCTCTCTCTTTTTATCTCTGAATGTGCTCAATGGCAATATATTTTGTGCTTGTTTTACGGTAGGCACTGGTGGAACATCAGGGTAAAACTGTAGGTTACCAAGATTGTTCTCAACAAAATGGCAGTAGGCTCCATCTACAGTTATCTTCCACAGGTATGTGGAAGTATTTTCCACACACCTAAGTTGGTGAATCACTTTATCTATAAGCCTGTGTCCATGCTGTTAAATTAAGGAACACGGATTCCTTATTTATGTATTAATAATGCTGATGTAACACTGGCCCCGACTGGGGGAAGGCCCAGTTGTGCCGGCGGTGAAGTGCGTTGGGGGGTGTAGAGAGGGTCTCACGCGCTCGTCGTTCGTCTCTCCTCAGCCCCCGAGCCGCAGGAGAACCCCCTGCTGAAGCTCATCTCCCTTCAGAAGGCGAACGGCTCCTGGGATCTGGATGAGGCTCTGCTGGCGGTTTTGGGGAAGAAGAAGAAGGAGGTGGCCAGCAAGATGCCTGGAAAGGTGCGTCAGGCTCACTGGCTGCGATATTGGGGTCCTAATCTCCATCAACCACAGCCGGCAGTGGAATCCTACTCCGTTGGGCCCCTGAGCAAGGCCCTTAACCCCAGCTGCTCCAGGGGCGCCGTATATATGGCTGACCCTGCGCTCTGACCCCCAGCTTCTCTCTCCCTGTCTGTATGTGTCATGGAGAACAAGCTGGGGTCTGCGAAAAGACAAATCCCTAATGCAAGAAATTGTATATGGCCAATAAAGTGATCTTATATCTTGCTTACTACCCAGTATAGTAAGTAATGTAGTAATAGTAAGTATAATTGATTAATGTAGGCTCATTGGTTACCTTTCTTCCGTTCTCTCTGTTACTGGCCCGACATGAGCCTAGTTCTAGAATGACAGATAGTCATGTTCTGTCAAGGCCAGTCCTGTCCAGGGCCGGATTTTGGTGTTTGTAGGCCCCGGGCACTTTCACTCCGAAATGTGCAACAAGAGGGCTAAACGCCAATTGAGTGACGTCGATCGACATGATGCACTTTAAACTCTTCCAATGCTAAACCCCGTGATTGCTGGAGCGAGTCGAGTGACCATCACTTCTCATCCTTCTGGTGTCTAGAACAGCTGCTAGGCAGCGTGTGATCAGTGATTTGGAGTCGATCGCAAGCCTGCTGTTTCAGCTCGTTTTTCATTCCTCACCAGTGTCTCCCTCCTTCGTGGGCTTAATTGGAGATCCTGTGCGCTGCAGCTCGGTCATGACCCTGCTCTGTGCGCTTCCTCTCCAGGGCCTGGACAAGACCGCGTGGGCCACTCTGCTGGCTCTGCTCTGGCTGCACGGCTTCAAACTGGACTCCAGGGACGAGTGGCAGTTCGTGGCCCTGAAAGCCGTGTCCTGGATCAAAGCCCAGCCAGGTAGTGGAACGAACGCCGTTCCCGGACAGCTGGTGGAGAGCCTGGCCCGGCCCTCTGGGAAACCGTCATGAGGATCAAGGAGAAGTCAGCAGCCCTGAGCTGGTTGACAAGGATGTCCCGTCTCTAACACTTCCTGCTGTAGTCTTATAGTTCAGGCCCTTCAGTGCAGATTTAACTGCCTGTACAGTTACTTTTTTACATTTTATTTTAGAAACACTGTAGTGTAGAAATCATAGCTTTGCTATGAAGAGTGCCCTATACTGTATATTCCTGCTTATTTTTGGTACTTTCTGTTCTTAGTTTTAAATGCAAGACATGTTTTTACTAACGTGTATAGCATGAAATGAACATTTTATTAGCTTTATGAAATCCCATCCACCTGAAAACGGTTTTTAGCTCCTCTTATTTCTGAGTTTAGCGTTATGCTTCAGTTCTTCACCTGGTCTCCATGGCTCGCTGTGATGTTCCTCGGTACTGTTGCCTCCATCTTGCTCCTTGTGTTTCAGGACTCGACGTGGCTCAGTGCGTTCAGGCTGGAGCCACCCTGCTGGGCTGCCAGGTGGATCCTCAGAGCCTGGGAATGTGAGCGGCGACCCTGGAAACCCTCCCTCCCCCATCCGGAGTCTCTCCGGTGTGCACTCCGGGCTGGGGGGAAATGGGGGGGTTGTTGACAGACCTGGCCTGGTTAGGATTCACTTCGTGCTGCGCTGGCTTTCCATCTCGCAGACATAAACGCCCCTGGGTTCGGAAATGACCTGTGATGTGAATATATGATCTATAGGAATATATTATGTAGCATTATATTCAGAGTATGTACCCCAGTGCTGTCCAGATCAAGTGGCTTTCCTTGACGGGCGTTGTATCCAATAAAGCTTGAGGGGTTGTGAAAATACTTATTGCTGCTCTCTTATACTTCAAAGAGGACTGTGTTTTTCCGCTGCTGGTTTGCAGTTCCGGTCCGGGTATTTTGGAGGCAGAACTGGAGTCTAGGCTGGAGTGCAGGCAGGGAGGACCGCCAGAACATTTAAAAAATATATATACAGATCTTACTGTGTAACTTTCATGCACTGGAGCTTTAGCACAGGAGCATTCTGCAAAGCAATAACATTACATGTGTCTAGCTGCCAATCTGTGTATATGATGACACAGAGCAACATGAAAACCTGTCCTATTAGTATTTTTCTACAGTGGTCGGGATCTGAGTAATGGGAAGGTTGCAGGTTCAAATCCTGGGTGAGACACAGCTGTGGTACCATTGAGCAAGATACTTCACTCAAATTCCTCCATTGTATTACCCCGCTGTATAAATGGGTGCAAATGGATATACTGTGAGTGTCAATCAAATAAACTGGTAGGAAGTGAACGAAGTAGGGTCGGGCCGTGCGGTCCTCCCAGATTAAAAACCTGTCCCAGTGGGCAGGGCAGCTCCCAGCTGGGTACATTGGGCTGGGACAGTCCCAGTGCGCCCCTGCCAGATACACGCGGTAAATGGGGCTGTACAACCAAAAAAGAGAAGCTGCTCCAGCTCGGACTCCACACGAGGCAGGGAAAGAAGGGAAGGCAGGGATGAGCAGACTGCACGAGCCGTCAGGCACTTCCTGGAGAGGATGGCCGTCGCAGACGGTACTTGAATCTCTTTCCCCTCGTGAGCTCCTAGTCATTCCCAGAGAGGGAATCGTGTCTGCTCTGGCGCTGGTGGCGTCCTGTCCAAGCCAGGGGAGAGGGGCGGAGCTGGGAGCCGAGGGGCCGGGCTGCAGGGCTGGTGTGGCTCCGCAGGGTGACTTCCTGTCCTCGCCGGGGGCAGAGGGACGGCCCTCCTGTCCTCTACTGCGGCTGCACCAGGAGGGTGTGGCGGGAGTGTTTATCGTTCACGATGGGAATGCTGTGATCTGTCGGCATGACGGGCTGCTCACCAACCACAATCACAGCTCATTCAGCACGGGTGATTTGCGATTTGCATATGAACTCTTTTAAACTCTTGAGTTCATGCTCTGTGTCAGCGGTGAGTTCTAAAGCAGAGTCCATATTAATACGCGTAAACATCAAGCAGTCAGGATGATTGGACAAAGAACTGACATCAGGTCTGGTGCTGTGATCCAGTTTGTCTTTAGACCGTGCCAGTTCGTGTGGAGAACCGTTTAATGCAGCATGTCTATAGCCAAATGAGAGAAAATGGGCTGTGTGAGGCCATTCGAAATGCCTCCGCTCATTGTAAGCAAAGATGTGCTAACAGGAAAAAAAGTACAAGCAAGTATTTGGGATCTGCCTAATCTGGAAGGATTTATTTTTCAAATGAGCAACATCCAACACGCCTGCAATTCAAAAGACACAGTAAAACAAAAAGTAATTGCATGCAGTGTGGTGTCCCCACATGTGATTATACAGTGAAAAAGGATTCACCCCCTTCCTGCGGGTCCTAGCCACTGTTACTGAGATTTGAGGAGGGAGGCAGAGATCTGCAGGCCTGGTACCAGAGAGCCCCAGGTGACCATCAAGCCTGCAGGTTCTCTAGGCCTGCAGCAGCTGAACTGGGCTGTTCTGCAGGTCACCTGTTAAACTGAGGAGTGCAGAGATCACCTAGGAGCAAATTCTGAGTCCCCTTCAGCTGTTAGACTGCAGTTCTGATAATTGAACTAATTACTAGCTCCGTTCATCAATAACAAGCAGATTTTTAGAATTTTAGAAATAGGTTATGTGTAGGACTGGCTGAATCAGGCCTCTCCCGGACCAGGGTTACGGACCCCTGGAGTCACTGGACCGGGGTTACAGACCCCTGGAGTCACTGGGCCGGGGCTCTCCGGTACCAAAATGCTTTGCAGCTTGATTCATGCAATCAAGAGGCACAGTAAACAAGTTATTGCATGCATCGTGTTGAGCAAAGGCAGGAGTAGAGCTCGCCTTTGCAGAAACTTATCAAGCCCTGCCTGCTAGATGTTGTGGGTGTGTTGTTACACAAAGCAACTGCAAAACAAGTCGAGCGTCCTTCTCCAACCGCAGAGTCAGTTACCGTACTGATTTTATAGCAAGACGTTATACTCCCCATTAAAACATTGTGACTCACTTTATCTTGATTAATTAATACACCCCAGTAGTGTTCTGGTGCTTGTATACTTTAAACGCAATGCTGTTTGTGTCTGTCTGTGTGTGCCCTGCGATGGACGAGCGTCTCGTCCAGGGTGTGCCCTGCCTTCCGCCCACTGCATGCTGGGATAGGCTCCTGCTCCCCCGCAGCCCTGAATTAGAAAGAATTCAGAACATGGATGGAGGGTTTCACAGGGAGATTGCACTGTTTCTTATCGGCTTTCGTCTAGCCACACTGAGCTGGATACACCCTGGACGAGTCATTGCAGGGCACACACCAGAGCCAGCTTTCCCAGAAGCCCGGTCTGTTCCTGAGCTGTGGGATAAAGATGGACCTTGCGGGACCCCGGCCTCCGCGGCCGGCGAGCTCTAGGGCAGGACGCACTCTACGGGCTCCTGCGAGTCGGGGAAGAGGTGGCAGTTGAAGGGCCAGCTGACGGCCAGCTGCTCCAGGGCCGGCCGGCACTGCTGCTCCGCGGAGACGCACACCGAGCGGCACGGCTGCAGCACCCCGCCCTCCGCGCTGCACCGCGGCACGAAGACGGCGCACACCAGCCGGCGCAGCGCCGGGAAACAGGCCAGCTCCGTCAGGACCTGCGGGGGGAGCCAAGCCGGAGGTAAGATCCCTGCCCTGCCCTTCCGGGCTCCGCCAGCACCCCCCCGCCCCCCAAAAACCCGCCGGCCGGTCGATGAAATCCTATCCTCTTTTGCGGGGCTGGGATCTGATCGCGGAACTCCTCGGCGGTGAATTCTGCTACACTGAAAGATCTGCTGCTGCATACTGTACCGATCTGCACTGCCTGGGGTTCGAGTGGATGAGGTCACTTCTATAACCTGCCCAGCTCTGTTCCAGGTCAATATCAAGCAGACTGCTGCTGCCACTGAGGCGTCGGCAGCTATTTCTAGTGTAATGCACCACGCTGGGGAGCAGGAGGTTTTTGCATTTAAAATTGCTGGTGCTTAAATGACTTCACTGGGCCTCGGTTCATGGGAAGATGGGGTCGGGCTTCACCGAGACAAAGGGGCAAATGATTTGCTGCATGGAGGAAGCAGAGATTGTCACGTCACGTCACGTCATTTCCCAAACCGCCTTATACCATACGAAAGCTTACCCGGCAAACAACGAGCGCAAGGCAGGGTGCACCCTGGACAGGACGCCAGTCCCTCGCAGGGCAAGTGCAAGCCCAACATACACGGGGACAATTTGGAGGCCACGGTGAAGGACGAGGGGGGAAATTTGGCCCGGACACCGGGATAACTCCCTACTCTTATCGAGAAACGCCCGGGGATCTTTAACAACCAATGAGAGTCGGGACCTCGGCTTCTCACCCGAAAGACGGAGCAGAGATTGTATGAAACAAAATAAGTTTCAAGAGGAACCCAGTGTCTTTATTTCGATGCAAAACCTCACGCTTCGCGGAAATAGGATCGCTCAAATGGAACTGTACTAAAGAGCAGCTCAGCAACACATTTTGCTGGTAGCAGACGGTGCTCTTAAACCTGAGCACAGATCACGCTTCATTACGGGGGACACTGCGATGTACGTCCACGGAAAGGAATGGTGAAACCGTCACGAATGCCATCGGACTCGCACCCGCTGTGCATTTCTGCACAGATGTCCAGGAACCACTTGTGAGCACTGCTCTGAAAGCATCTTCTCGTAGTATCATACTGCTAGAGCTAACCTATGCCTCTCAGCACCCTATGTCGGCCCTGAGACAACTTAGCCAGAACGCACGCCGCGTGCAGGGAGCTCACCCGACCTTATAGTGCTTCAGGGCGTTGGCTGCCTCCCTCTGGTCGGAGATGGAGAGCCAGATGTTGGGGAAGGAAGTCAGGTTGTAGCTCAAGCCTTGGCACATCTCCACCTTGATGGGCTCACAGGGCGATGCTGGGGACACAGTACAGTTAGACGGTGTATAATGAGTTTCAATATGGTGAGGAGCTGCAGGACATCTGAAATGGCAGCATCTGTTTCTTTCCAAAAGGGTTTCAAGGTGTGTATCACTCCCCCCCCCTGCATTTCTCAGTAAATCAGTAAATCAGAATTTTGCTCAGCCACCTGTTCCAGTTCCTTCAAAGCTGAACAAGACAAATTCCTCATGCAAGAAATTGTATATGGCCAACAGAGTGACCTTGGCTTACTGAAAGAGGGGTACGTCGTGTTGTCGCAGCCCCGTTCGTCTGCGCCGTCCGGGCAGTCGGTCCAGCCGTCACACACCCACTCCGTGGCCCGGCACTCTCCGTTTCCACAGGAGAACTGCTGGGGGCCACACGTCCCTGCAGGCTCAGGATACAGCACATCCTGGTGAACTTTGCACCCGGGGACCTCGAGGAACCCCCCCACGTGCGTCCCCTTGTTCTATAAAAGTGGTCTGTGCAAATTCCAAACACTTTTGCAGCACTCTTGCACAGAAGGCCAAGTGTTTTGACTTGGTTTGTTACCGAGTCAAGGTCTGTGTTTTTACTATGTATCGATATCTGCATGAATCAGCTTATTCCATAACGGGCGATGCTCAGTGATGCAGGCTTTTCAGGACGTAATGGATTCTTTTGTAATCAGAGTTTAACATGATTTTGCTTTACCTTGGAGGTAGACGGTGTGACACGGGGGAACTCACTTTCCTCGGCAACAATGGCCTGATAGGTAGCGTAGAAGCCGCTGTCTGATACGCCCTCATCGGCCACGAACAGCACAGTCACTACCCGGCCGGAGGAGATCAGCTCGGGAGGTGGGTGAGAGCCACAGAACCTGGAGATCACAGGGAGAGGCATCGCTGGCGTTTCTGCGCTCAGGCCAGGCAATTCTGTGTCACAGTATGGGGAAATGTGCTCTGTGCGTGTCATTCCAACCTCCTGCCACAGCAGGAGCTGGTTTGTCCCACAGTACACAAGGATCGTATTCCAATTTTGCCCTGCATGAAGGTCAGTGTCAAGACCGGCAGGCAGCTCAGGGTCAGTGAAGGCAGAGCTTGTTTTTAATCAGAACATGTGTATGTTGGGTATTTTATATTACATTACGCCTAGTCAACTGTCATGTGCACAAGGGCATTTCTGTAAAATAAAAAGGGGGCAGAGAGATTTGCATGTTAATAATAATAATAATAATAATAATAATAATTTCTTACACTTATATAGCGCTTTCCTGCACACTCCACTCAAAGCTCTTTACAGGTCATGGGGATCCCATCCACCCCCACCAATGTGCAGCCCCACCTGGATGATGCGACTGCAGCCATAGTGCGCCAGAACGCTCACCACACATCAGCTATCAGAGCAGAGTAAAGAAGCCAATTCATAGATGGGGATTATTAGGAGGCCATGATTGGTAAGGGCCAATGGGAAATTTGGCCAGGACACCGGGGTAACACCCCTACTCTTTTCGAGAAACACCCTGGGGTTTTTAATGACCACAGAGAGTCAGGACCTCGGTTTTACGTCTCATCCGAAGGACGGATGACTGAGGGGGCGTGTCTAACCTGCCCAGCACTCGACTGTTTTCGGGATCTGCGCCGTCCTGGACCTCCACAAAGTCAAATTCGCACACCTCCTGCGTCTCCAGGCTAAAGTTGCGGAAGGTCAGTTTGACGACGTGGCCCTCCGGCACGGATATCTGCCACACGCACAGCTGTGGTGATAGATCAGACAGTGTCCACATACAGTATTGTTATGTGTAACCTTAACGTCAGAAGAATGAGTCAAGGAACAACCACTTCCTATTCTAATTCCATCCACCCATTTTCTAATCCCTTACAGGGCCACTGGGAAGCGGGAGCCTTGTCCCGACACATACGGCTGGCAGCCCGAACAACAGTGGCCAGCTTAAGATGGGAATTCTGGTGGGCAGTGAAAGATACTGTGGCGATCCGTAAGAGGAGCCTGATGCAGAAATAGGAAAGAATGGGAAGAGAGCCACCGCTTGTTGAAGATAATGTATTTAGAACTGTATAAACCACAAAAGAAGAAGGAATATTGGCTACATTAACAAGTGAAAGTCTTAGGAAGGTAAAGCTGTTGGGGGCTGACACTGCACCAGTTGGACACCAACAGAGGGAGGATAAAAGGGGAGGAGCTCATCACTGTAGCAGCAAGGGACAGCAAAAGTTGTGAATGAGGAGGCCTTAACCCACTGTAGACTGATGTTGTGCGCTTGCAGCTCAACGACCAGGGTGGCTCCAATGGGAGCAGCAAAAAGCAAGACTGGAGGAAGGGGGAAAAGGAAACAGTGAATACAGGCGGGGCAGTTTGTACTGTGGGTTTAATGCTTGACCAGAGACAGAAAAAAAAGGTGAGCAGAGAACAGACCAAGCATGATTAGGAGAAGAAAGAAGGGGGGAGAGAACCACCACTTGTGACTCTGACAAATCAGAAACACTGACTGCTAGAACAGATATGTGCATCCAAGGAATAATTATGCTCAGTAAGTGCTACATTAGAATTTGACTTCCTCCTGAGCTCTTGTTAAATAAACACCATTAATCAATTATTATTCTTGTTTACAGGTCAATAAAATAATCAGGTCAATCACTCCTATATCAATACCTGCTGGTGAGGGTAGGGCTTTGGGTGGTTTGGGCTGGACAGTGAGCCTTCAGTCCCAGTTTCCTGTCCCCCACATTCTGTGAGAAGAGAGTCTGATCAGCATGAGAATGATCACACTGCGCATCTCTCAGTATGGACTGAACCGCCCGACAGTGAACATTACAGAGCTGAACTACAGCCTATGATTCACCGCAGGACTCTCTGCCCCTAGATCAAGCACTGTCCCAAGTGACGCTATCATTTTCATTTGAGACTTTCAGGAAGAGAGACATTTTGCACCCATTATCTACAAAGTTATCCTCTAGAGATCTTAATCATTCATTTGACATTAAAACGTTTCTATAACGCATCATCAAGTCTTGATGATGCTATGATTGCAATTAAACATCTTTTCATAAAGTTTTAAGCTACTATTGAAGTGACTTCATGGATTTAAAGTGTCAAACTCCTGCCTGGAGGGATTAGTGTCTTGTGGTTTTTGTTCTATCTGAGCTCTCCATTACATACTGTAGATGGTCTAATTATTTAAATAAATGAATAATTTTTAATACTTCTATCCAGGTTGAAAGGTGTTTTATATTGTAGGTAACTGTACTTTTACTGAAGTGTTCTTTTTCAGTAATGAAAAATTCTTTAGATATATAATTAATCAAAACTTCAATTGACTGTTCATGTCGGACCAAAAAGACTATGTATTCTACTGTATGAAGAGGAAATCACATTTATAATAAGTTTTAATCAATGTGGAATTGGCCATGTAAAAACAGAAACACTGTAGAAGTATTCCTCTCAATAACACATACTTGACCTATGTTGCCTGTGACCTCTGACCTTTGTGCTTTTGGCTGCAGTTGGCTTCGTCAGTGTGATCCAGGCAGTCCGGGTGGCTGTTGCACACAGCTGATGGCAGCACACAGCGTCCCCCATCACAGAAAAACTCCTCCCGGGAGCAGCTCTCTGAGGAGCACACAATAGAGACTGTAGGGCCGATTACACTTTTAAAGTTCAAGTACATGAATACATTTCTCTTTAGATCCAAGTGCTACAGTCAGTTACAAGGTGAGGGGCAAGCCTGGCCTATCCCTGGCCAGGTGAGATGAGCCTGGCCCATCCCTGTCCTGTCCCCACTGGCCCACAGCACACACTAGACTCTCACACAGTGCAGTACGTACCCTGGCCAGGTGAGATGGCCTGTCCTGTCCCCACTGGCCCACAGCACACACTAGACTCTCACACAGTGCAGTACGTACCCTGGCGAGGTGAGATGGCCTGTCCTGTCCTCACTGGCCCACAGTACACACTAGACTCTCACACAGTGCAGTACGTACCCTGGCCAGGTGAGATGGCTTGTCCCCACTGGCCCACAGTACACACTAGACTCTCACACAGTGCAGTACATACCCTGGCCAGGTAAGATGGCCTGGTACTGTGCCAGGAAGCCACTTGCTCCAATACTGCTGTCAGAGCGGAAGATGACGTGGAGAGAGCTGCTGTTGGTGTTCACTGTAGCTGGCGCAGTATTGCCACAATATCTGACAGGAAAAGGCAAGGAAGTATCATTTTTTAAAAAAACATTAAATAAAAACACCACACATTTTTTACTTTTAAAATCTCTGGTATCAAAGTGCTCAAAGTATCCAAGTAACATACTGTATCTAAGTGAAGAAGCGCAACATTTTTTCCTCGATACCAGCTTGAAGATAAAATAGCTTGTTCGGGAAAATAGTTCATAGACGCTTTTAACTCAAAAAATGTTCAGGATTTCTACACATCCCCCAGTATTATGATTTACAGAAGCGTGTTGATGCCATCAAGGAAAAAAAAACACTTCATACAGTATGTTATCTCAGAGATAGGAGTGCTGTCTGTGTGGAGTTTGCATGTTCATGGTTCCCTCCCAGAGACATGCTGGTAGATTAATTGACTTCTGTGAAAACTGACCCTGGTGTGAGTTGTGTGCCCTGTGATGGACTGGCGTCCCATCCAGGGTGTACCCTGCCCTGTGCCCACTGCTTGCTGGGATAGACTATTGCTCCCTCCCGTGACCCTGGATTGGATAAAGTGGTTGGGAGGGGGGAACGAATGGAAGTTCAATTGGATCCTAACGAACGTGAAAGGAGGACAGGGTGGAGCTGGCCGATCTCGAGCTCGGCGAGAGCCGTGCGGAGCGGACGTCTCTAAAGGCGACCTCGGCCGTACCTGGCGAGGAAGGGGCCGGTACTGCCGCTGCCGTTCTCCCCCCGGACCTCCAGCCAGTCGAAGAGGCAGGGCCGGCGCCCCTCCACCGCCAGCGAGGAGATGTGCAGCTGCACGAGGGAGGGGGGCCTGACCTGGATGATCCAGACACACACAGAGTCAGGGGGGTAGTTAGCGGGGTAGTTCGGTGAACTGAAGGTGCCCCCCTGGTCACTCAGGATCCCGCCACAGTCTGAGAAGGCAGAAGAGAGCAAGGAGAGCCCGCGTTCTTGCAGGAAGTGGTAGATCACTCTACTGGGGTGCCCGGGGATGGGATAGGATGTCTAACCCACAGGACGCACCCTTTCCCCCTTTAAAATACACTTGTTCTGCTTGAGCAAAGCTTGAAAAAACTATCTTGATGGCTAAATATAAAAGAGGGATAATTCAACACTTGCACAATAACCAAATCTCAAAATGGCTTCCCCTTTATAAATCTGTGACATCTCCATTCGACTATGGAGAAAAATGTATAAGCATCTCAAGTAACGCCTTTAATTATGGCATGGGAGGAGTAGTGAGGGGGGGGTGGAAACACCCTAAGTTTATTAACCTACTTTTAAAAGTCCCATTTGACTCCCACTGAACACGCTAGACTCCTAGCTAATACATCTGATTTCTTTTTTTTTTTGGATACAGTATCTTGCGTGAGAACATGTTTAAGCTCTTGCGTGGGTTTTAACGGTCTTTCTTCCATGTGCCCAAATTCTTTCAGAAGGGCATGAGAAAGATTACAAGTGAGAGGAGCCAATCGGTCCATTTTGCTTGCCTGTTTGTTTGCTGGTTGATTTTAATTCTCTACAAATCCTTTTCTGAAAGCATCCCACAGTCCCCTTCACATGCCTTCGGGAAGCTGGTTCCACATTAAATGGCCACTTTCCTGTCCTTGTGTTGGTTGGTGGGTTTTCATGACTCAATATCTGAATCTGCAGTCCAAGTATGAACTTCTCTATTCTAAGCTCATGAGGTTGAAGTTTATCATCTTTCTCTGGGTTCAATTCCTGGGGTGCTGTCTGGGTGGAGTTTGCATGTTCTCAGTGTTCATGTGGGTTTGTTCCAGGTGCTCCAGTTTCCTCCCACTGTCCAAAGACATGCTGGTGGGTTAATTGGCTTCTGGGAAAACTGGCTCTAGTGCGTGCGTGTGTGGGTGCCCAGCAGTGGACTGGCTTCTAGGGTGTATCCTGCCTTGTGCCCATTGCTGGAATAGGCTCCGGCTCCCCACCATGACCCTCTGTTGGATGAAGTGGTCAGAAAATGCATGGGGAAACCTGAAGAGTAAGTTGCTTCCTCCTTATGTTGTGATCACTTATCCACATTAAGTTTAATTTTGTGAAATGCATAACCATCTTCAGTTGTTAGGCTCTCTTGCGTGGCTTGTGTTGTCATTTTAGTTATAACTAAACCAACTCCTACCAACCAGATTGAATTGCCTAGAGATTTATAGCAAATTTTTGTTTTTGAGATGTTGCTGGCTCAGCTAGACCTAGAATACCTGCTTGGGTTGTGAGACTCAGTCACCCCCCAGATTAAATCCACAGAAGTGGGTGGGTGGGGACTGAAGAGTATCACAAGGCACCGACAGATGAAGAAAAGGCTTCTTCCACAGAGAACTGTGACGACTCACTTGGTGCTGCTGTTGGGCTCCCTGGTGGTTCCTGGGGGGCAGTGTTGTCCTGTGTACTGGTGTTAGTGGGAAGGCTGGTGGTGTTCCAGGGGGGCTCTACACCCTCTCTCTGGGGCTCCGTCAAATCTGTAAAGACATTTGTGCATCTGCTCATGTCCATCATGGTCGACGTACACAAAACACTCGCCTGTATTAACCAACACTGCAGGGTGTATCTGCTAAACTGAAGGCTGTAGTACCAGTTGAATAGTGTCATACTTTCCTAAAAGTCTTAAAAAATGCAAAGCGTTTATGGTAAAATGGATATTCTGAAGCTTTAAAACTACAGACCACCTAATGCACACCTCAACCATACAACATATGGTATGAGATCAGAGAGGTACTGTATGTACTGTTGGCAAGACGTTAAATTGATAGTAGATTTCTCTTGCATGTAAAGCAGTATATTTTATGAAGGGTAATGAAAATTTATTTGGTTGGAATTTTTTCTTCTTAACCTAGTCAAGTAAAAGCACCAACTAGCCGAGATGCTTTTATTAACCTAATTGATTTTTTCCAAATGGCCTGAGATACAGTATATAATTTAATTCCGACCATAATATATTTTGACATCTTTAAGAAGGAATGATCTTGGGTTTTTTTTTAAGTAGTTTAGGTGGGGAGCTCCTCAGACTGCTCTGGATTTTTAAGAGCACCAATTAATATTTTTGGAGCATGCAGTCGCCTCTATCTCTATTTTTCTTATTCCTATTGCACATGGCCTTTTATTGCTCATCTTGTGAGGGGTGGGTGGTTACTACCTCTTCATAAACGGAGCCTGCTGGGAACCCGGAGCCCGTCTGTTAACCATGCCTGACTTCATAATGACTAGGAAGCCGTCAATATGTTCAAACCTGCTCTTCGAGCGGAGTGTAATCGGCGTGCTACATGCTCTAGTTTCTGACGGCGCGCGGTGCTGTACTCACAGGCGTGGATCAGCAGCAGTGTCAGTCCCAGGCCGGCACCGAGGAGGAGCAGTGACCCTGTGACGACTCGGGCTCTTGTCCCGCAGTGGGGACCCCCCCGCCTCCAGGCACACAGCTGCTGCCCACCTGGAGCCGAGGACAGTA